GAGCTGGGATATACATTACTGTATACATGTCATATCACTATAATTGTGTACAGGGGAGCTGGGATATACATTACTGAGTAATGTATATCCCAGCTCCCCTGTACTCCATTATAGTGATAGGACATGTTGTGCACAGTACTTACTGTCCCCCGCGGCGGTGGAGAGGGTATCTCCTCTCAGCGGAGGAGAGCGGACCTCTCCTGCACTTGTCCCCTCGGCAGCGGTGCCACAGAAGCTGGAAACCGGAAGTTGTAAGCCGGAACACGACTTCACAATGAGGCTTGGAGCACAGGTGCAGTCGCTCCAAGCTTCATCTGTGCACACTGCTCGCCACAGAGGAATTTCTCCTTGCATTTGGCGAGCGGCTTTTTCAAGCCCTGGTCTAGGTAACCTGTGACCGATACTCCCCGAGTTCTGAGGAGCCCCAACACCGGAGCAAGAATTTTTGTGAAAACTCTGGGAGCCATGGTCAGTCCAAACAGTAGTGCTATGAACTGGAAATGATGAGCCCCTACTGCTAACCGCAGAAATCTTTGGTGAGGAATGAATATCGGTACATGCAGGTATGCATCCTTGATGTCTATGGATGCCAAAAAATATCCCTCCTATAGGCAGGCCACTACTGACCGAACAAATTCCATACGAAAGGATCAGAACTTAAGAACCGATTTAGCCCCTTGAGGTCAATTTGGTTTTGGGACTGTAAACAGGTTTGAATAAAACCCCTGAAACCTTTCGCCGTCTGGAACCTCCGATTACTCCTTGAGCCAATAGGTAATCGAGTACCTGAAATAAAGCTTTTCTTTTCTCTTGAGTTGTTGGTACATTTATTCTTAGAGACCAGGGAGAGGGAAATACCCAAAATTCTAGTCTGCACTCCAGAGAAATCATGGCAATGACCCATTTCTCTTGGATTAGAGCCCATCAAGCGGCCACAAAATTCAAAAGCCTTCCACCCACCCGAACAAGTGGGGGTGCCCCTTCATAAGGAGGCGGACTTTTGGATCTTTCTTAGATGACTTTTTGCATCCAGGGTTTTGATTCTGAGATCTACCCCTGGAAGCTGGGACCTGTGTGTGGCAAAAATGACTGCCTGGTAGAATAGGGCCCAGTAACCGAAGCCCGATACCTTAAAAGAAGGGCGTTTGGATTTCCCCTTAGAGGGTAGAAGAGTACTTTTACCCCCTGAAATCTTTTGGATATATTTGTCCAAATCTCCCCCAAACAGCCGTTCCCCATGAAAGGGAAAATCTGCCAACAATTTTTTGCATGGCAGTTCTGCTGACCAACTCCTTAGCCACAAAACCCTGTGCACTGATAAGAGGGACAAGCAAGAAATTTGCTGAACTGAATAGATAAGAGCAACAACTGCAAAAACACAAAGCACACGGAACGTCCTCCAAATCCTTGGCCGAGCATTCCCCCTGCCTTGATGGTTTTCCAATCCGTTGCTGGACGCGGTTAGAAAGACTGACAAATGCCAACAGCTGCCACAACTGGCTGTGGCAGAACCTGCCAGGGAGAAGGAGGCCTTAAGGAGAGACTCCATCCTTGAAAACCTGTACATTATCCACAGGACACGTTAAAGATTTATTCAGAGATGAAACCGCTGCATCCACTACAAGCAACCCCCATTTCTTAAACTTTTGTTCCATGGGGTACAAAACAGAAAACCTCTTTGGTGGAACAAAACCCTGTCTGGGGGGTTCCAGTCAGCAGACATAATTTGCTCCAGAAGAGGATGCACCAGAAAGGCCTGAGTACTCTGTGAAGGCTTCAAAAAGCCCAGGGAAGAATAAAGTTTTCATCAGAGGGAGCCTGAATCCAGATCGTTCAAGATCAGTGAGGTCTTCGACTAAAAGAAATCTCAGACTGGGATGCAGAGACCGCTCCTCAGACAGATTCTATTGCCTGACCTGCCTTCAGTTCTTCCTCATCCTCAGGCTTCACGTTTTGTGTTTCTAGTGACAGGGATCTATCCCGTTTTTTTAGTCCCCTGAGAAACTGATGCAATCATCCCAGCAATCTTATCTTCTAAACTGGCAAAGGCTGAAGCAAGATCATCCTGGGTTACATATGCTGAGGCAGAAGCCCCAGTAGTAGCCACAATGCCAGACAGACGCAGTGGCTAGGTTCCTCAGGACCTGGTGGTGGTACATTAGTGCCCTTTCCTGCTGCACCTTCCCCCACTCTGCTTTCTGGAAGACATTACTTCAGAGAGCACAAAACTGTGCACTTCCACTAGTAACACAAATCACAATGATACAGCAATGCAAGTAGTGTGCTGAAGTAAACACTCAATGCAAATGCTGCCTTATGAGCCACCTAGGGAAGCTCCTGACTGACTGGCCACACTTCCCCCTAAGAATAGCCCGCTCTGTGTCCCAGCCACAACATATCTCTCAGCAGCAGCAGCTGCCGACGTGTGTCCTGGCCTCCAGATTAACAAAATATGGCCGACTTCCGTTTCGGCCGCATTCCCTACCCACAGTCTCACACCTCCTTTTCCCTCCAATTTAGAGCTTTGTTTCTCTTTACAAAGAGAAAAAAAAAAAATTATGATATCTTACCAGTCCTGCTGCAGGTCCTTGACTTCCATCAGGCATCAACCTTCACCCATCACAGCAGCCATTGTCATACAAAACTTCAAGCACTCAATCCCCATGCCGAAGGGCTACTGTCTTGGACCCGCATAGCACCCCGCTGGAAGCGCCTTGGTCAGATTTTAAAACTGCACAGGGTTCCATCTGAGCAGGGTCCAGCGACGTAAGGCTGCATTACAGGCAAACCCTCAAGGATTCTTCTCCTTACCCAGCGAGGCTCGGGTACCATCCATTTTAGCGCATAGCCTTCCAAATGGATCCGAGTAAAGTCCCGATTCTCTGGAACCATTATGGACTTTCAGGTATGCTCCAAGAGCACAGCAACACTTTCAATGACCATCCACTTTACAGACACTAGTGAAAGAAACTGAGGTACTTCCTGTATAGGAGGGGTTATACAAGGGAGGACCTCCTCTCTGGTCGGCCAGGGTCCAGTCACCTATAACCAACATAGTCATGAATAGCCCGCTCTGTGTCCTGCGATGTACGATAAAGAAAAAAAATAAACAAACAAACCTAAACAAAAAAAAACAAAAAACACAAAAAACCCACCATCGGCACAACAGACGGTACTTGCATGCCATCTCAGTAATATTCCTTCCTTTCCCTGCCAGGAGTGCCAACTATGCCCACCCTTTCGCCCCCCCAATCATAGAAACTATATAGTTTTAATCAATGAAATATCCTCTATGAATTAAGGACAGGCAAATGAATTAACCACTTCCAGTACATCCCCCGAACAATTTTTTTTTTTTTTTTTTTTTTTTTTAAACAGTTGTTGACCAGCTTTGGAGGTCAAAGTGATCCGGGTGGCTTTACAGTCACCTAATCAATTTTACAGGGCTTGAAAGGGCCCCTCTCCTGCCACTGTTCCTAGGCTCTCCTGTTTCACAGGGGAGCCCAGGACCTCTATAAATGGTCAGGACAGCTGTACCCAGAGGAGAAGGATAAACTTCCATTCCTCCCTCTCCTCTGTGATGAATGAATCTGGAAGTGTTTACCCCGCCAGAGAAGCAGTCAATCAATTGATCTCTCAATAAAGAGCAAGTCACTGTCAAAGCCATCACAAGCGATTTTGTTCATCCCTTAGCCAGAAAAGTAAAAAAGGGGGGGGGGGGGGAACCACCCCCCCCCCTTCTCCCTGTGCAAATGCAAAACATGCACATAGGTCCTGCATGCATGTGTAAACAGTAATTGCACAGCACATGTGGGGTATTGCCAAGAACAGAAAGAGGGTAATATTTCTGGCACCAGAGTTCAAATTCACCTCAAAACTAGTAAACTGTAAAGGCTATTCAAGAGGTGCCTATGGAGAATTTTAAGCGCTGTAGTTTGTCGCCATGGTCGTGCATAATCTTATCATGTTTGGTATCCATTTACTCGGTACATCATATTTTACCAAAAAATTGGGTATTATATTGGGTTTGTTCAACTGTTCAAGAATGTGGAAACCACCACAACCTATAAACACGGTTAGACAAGGCCAATTTGGTTGCTTTGCAGGCAAGTGTGCTGGAAAAGCCTTTGTTTATATTGTGTTCACTACAATTAATTTAAGTGTATTTTTTCCTGAAAACGTGTGTTTGATAAATGGCTGCGCAAATATTGTGTAACACAAAAAATTTTTTAAACATTTATTCTATTCTTCAGGGCCTCTGCTTTCAGAATATATATTAGGCTTGGGAGTAATTTTCTAGCAAAAAAAAAAAAAAAAAAAAAAAAAAAAAAAAAAAAAAAAAAAAAAAAAAGAACCCGCTGAATTTAAACATGAAAAATCAAAGTCTGCCTCCTCAATTCATAGATTGCTGTGCCTTAATGAAAGCTATAATACAGCTTCTATGTATCAAGGAGGAGGGGCAGGAAGGGCTGGCTTATTTAGTACTCTCGAGTGCTTTATGACAGGTCAAGTGGTGTTATTAACCCCCACAGCACGGGACGATTACTATTGTAGGGGTTCAGATGGGTAGAGGATGAAAGACTGCAGCCATTAGCACAAGGGACATTTCTCATTTAATGTAAGGACTGTCGCTTTTCATTCTTAAAACATTTTAACGAAAAGTAGTCTTTAAATTGAAATGTTCATGTGCTCATTGTGAAATTACACACAGAATTAGAATTCGGGGTAATCAGGAGTTAGATTTAGTTTCCTTGTTTATTACTTTTTGTGCCACATTGACAGTCCTGTTACGAAGTTATAAATAGAATATTTAGCTGTATGTTGTATTAGCAAACACTCATATCTGGAAGGAAAATTTGATATCACATACTTGCCTTGCTAACCATCTCCAATTATGGTGCTACTAGATGTTTGTTATGAAAATGTAGCCATATTTAAGGATACTCATTTAATATACAGCACTCCAGTACTATGAAATCTAGGAAAGACAATTTACACACCTCATCCAATAGGGTTTTGTTTGAAGTTTTAGCTCGTTTTGCCTCAGAAACATCAGAATCTCCAGAAAAAGATCTTTTTTTTTGATAGTCACCTTCAAGAATTAAAAAAAAAAAAATAAAAAAATTATATGGGTCATCATTACAAACATTAAGAAACTCCCAGAGATTTCTTGTGACAAGTTTGTACTGGCAGAAGCACTGCTATGCAAAATCAGAAAACATTTAAAAACTCAAAACACATCTGGTGGTCATGCCCAAGGCTGCTTAGTTTTTGGTCTCCTGTGTTTGGCCTCCTTTTCACCTTGTTCCATCTCTCTATACAACGGGATGCTTGGTATGCTTTGCTTCATTGTCCCATCCTGGGCCTCTTGGCTCATCAGCAGAAGTTGGCTTCCTATTTGTTTTTGTCAGCCTCTAGAACAATTGCTCAGGCCTGGAAGAGCCAGTTTGTCCCTCTTCAGGGAGTGCGGGACCGTATGACCACTATGATGATCAATGAACAGATGTCGAGTATCTGCAACAACTCCCAAATGTAAAATTCTTGAAAATATGGGAGCCGTGGTTGCAATATACCTTTCCCACGCTCCCCCGGCTAGTCTGGGGATGTGATGTTTGGCTTTGGCGTTCTTGGATCCCTGCTCTTGGTTTGGTTATCTTTTTTCTCTCGTACCTCCTTCCTTCAGTTTTCTGCCCAGTAACACCTGCTGTATTAAAGTGACTACACTCTGTATGAAGGAGCACAGAGGTACCTTTGGACAGCTGCACTGTTACTCTGGGGGGAGGACAGTGTTAGATGGACTAGTGGCAAGTTTGCTTTTGGGTTGAATACCACTTTATGACTGAAGTTGGCATCAGATGAGGCCGGAACATCCACCTGGTAAAACTTGATGAATGTGTGAAAGGAGGAACAACAGGCAGCCTTACAAATTTGAGAAACAGATGCCTGATGCTGAAAAGCCCATGGAGCACTGCACTAACTGACATAGTGATGTGCATTTTGAAAGGGAAAAGGTACAACTTTGTCCCCAAGTCTACAGGCTAGAATGAGGAGCTTCCCAATCTACCTGGAGACAGTGCAATAAGAAGACCTTCAGGAATGACAGTGTCTAAAATAGGGTGGGAGAGGGAAAGAAAAAGAGAAGGTGCTTAGGCCAAATGCTAGTCCACACCCATCTGTAAAAAAGACAAGTATCCATTCCATGGAGAAATTTCCTGTGATGAAAGCCTCACACCAAGCAAAAAGATGCCTTCAATGCACAATGCCGTCAATAGATGTTGAGAAAGTAGACATCTTAAAATTTAGCATTGTGGAAATAACCGATTCAGACAGAACTATGTCCCTTAGGGCCCTAGCTTCAAAAGCCATGCTTTTAAAGCCAGAGATCATGAATCAGGATGGTAAATTGGTCTTTGAGACAAAAGATCTGTAAGATCCCGTGGCGCATCCACCAGGAGCCTTCAGGTCAGAGAACCAAATCTACCTGGGCCAATCCAGAACAACGAGAATCACCGGAATAATCCATCTTGCAAAGCAGGTGATGTTTCAGTGGAGGAGAAAACAAATGGATTTTTTGTACTCATGATAAAATCCCTCTCTCTGAATTAATCAAGGGATACAGCAGCTTCATTTTTAACCTTAAAAGCAGGGTTTTATAGCCAGGAAAAACACCACACCCGAAAAAAAAAAAAACACACACACACACACACACACACACACACACACACACACACACAACCCCCCCCAAAAGGGGAGGCCCGGGAGCCCTAAACCTCCACCTGCAAACTTTTCTGCCACAACTAGCATTGGAGGATGCCAAGACATCAACTTTATGTTTGTGTGCACAGATGACCAGGTCGCTGCCTTGCAAATGTGAGAAACATACGCCTGTAGTCGGAATGCCTAGGGAGGAGCCAACTACCCTAGTCGAGTGCGCCGTAACAATCGTCGGCCAAATCCAACAAGAAAATAGTGGCAAAAGATGCCGCCAGGCCCTTCTTCAGACCTTCCATGAGGACAAAGAGTCTGACTTAAGAAATGCAGCAGTTACAGACAAGTACACGTGAATCACACAGACCACATCCAGGTGATGCAGAGCCACCTCTTTGGGGTGCATCGGTCAAAGGACACAGTGAGGCAAGAACAATATCCTCAAATGAAAATCTTACACCACCTTTGGCAGAAAGGAAGACGAAGGCCGAAGTACCACCTTATCCTTGTGTAAAACCATATAAGGTGGCTTACAGGACAAAGCTGCCAACTCTGGCACCCTCAGAGCCGAAGTGATAGCTACAAGGAAGACAACCTTTTGCGAAAGCGTAAGTAAGGGGGATTTCCTAAATAGCCTCAAATGGAGGCCACTGAAAAGCCGACCGCACCAAATTCAAATCCCATGGTGACTAAAGGGGAGCGCACAGGAGGGACCACGTGATGAACCCCCCTGAATGAAAGTATGGACCAAAGAATGTGTAGCTAAGGGCTGCTGAAAGAAAACAGCCAGAGCAGAGACTTGCGTTGAGTACAATCAATTGTCAAGTCTGTTAGAGGAGTTTATGTGAAATCTCCATTAAACACTAATATTGTAATTATGAATATATTTCAGTTAGAGCTGTATCAGTCTGGGTGTGCAATATATGTCTTCCCATAAATTCCTGTTCTATAGATACCATAGTTGCCAAAAGGAAATATTCTATTAAATTACACCTTCTTTACAACAGAAGTCTTTGGCAACCAACTGTCTGAAAGAGGATTCTCAGCAGAGAGTTAGTTTACCTAACAATGGGACAGACCTGTTGGCTTCCCAAATATGCACTTCAAAAGGATACCTCATTTAGATATGCAATGAAGCTGGCCAGCCCTTCATGAATACTTAAGTTTCCCAGCAAAAGGTCATGAACTGGCATGCTTAAATGACAAAGGGTGTGGCAATACAGGTGATTTGAAGTTAGCCAATTATGAAAGGGAATAGACTGGCCAAACAATAAGATACTTTATGAAAATTGGAGAGGGGAGAGGGACCTTTTTTGGAACACCAGAGGAAGGGAATGGAACTTTTATGTCCAACTCCATGGTAATTATGGAATATATCCCTTGCACTTATATCGAAATGTTTGTCTTATGTCTTTTCTGTCTCACGGTTTGTATTTTGTAATATGTTCGAGCTTTCTTAATAATGTTTCTTTTATGTAACTAGATAGATTGATTGTGTTAGTTTAGACCTCCATCCTATTCACCAATACATTTTGGTTGTCGTGTTAAACATTTCACTTCTGGGTAAGAACTCTTCATTTACCAAATCATAACAGAGAAATATTATATTTCATAATCTATAGATTTGGTCAACAAGTCTTTGATCCACACCCCATTGGGAGGAAGGCCAAATCGAAAACCCGAGCCACAATGAAGGAACGTGAACGGAATCCAAAGACTTCACACTAACCACTATAGGCTCTCCAGGTGTGATGATAAATCGTCCGGGAGGTAGACTTATGGGCCTTCGACATAGCCGGAATCACCGAGCCAGACAACCACCTGTCCTTCAGAACCAGGCTCTCAATAGCCAGTCAAAGCCAGCGACTGTAAAGCAGAGTGGAAGACCAGCCCTTGAGACAGAAGGTCTTTCCGAAGAGGCAGCCTCCAGGGAGTATCTGCCACCAATTGCACCACGTCAGCATACAACGGACTACGAGGGCAGTCCGGAGAAAATGAGGATGACTGGGATCTCTTTGGCCTCTATCCTATGTAGTAGACAAGGAATCAGTTGAAGGGGTGTGAAGGCGTAGATGAGAGTATACTGATCTCATGGTACCACCAGTGCATCTGCCAGGGGATACAATGATCGTGCCACAAACCATGGAACCTTCCGATTAAGGTGGGAAGCCAGACGAACCATGTCCAGAGTCCCCCAGCGAATGCAGAGCTGACAGAACACTGCCAGATGTAGGGACCACTCACCCTCTGATCCAACGTCTGACGGCTGAGATAATCCGCTTGCCAGTTTAATGCCTGCAATGTGTACGGCGGACAGAGCCGGAACAGACCTCTGGCCATTGCAGAATGTGAGATGCTTCCAGTGCCGCTACTGCACTGCTCGTGCCCCCCCCACGATGATTGACATACGCCACCACAGTGGTGCTGTCTGACTGAATTGTGGTCGGCAGACCCAACAGACTGTCCGTCCAATGAGTCAGTGAAAACTGGATAGGCTGAAGCGCCAGGATGTTGATGGGCAAGCGAGCTTCCCCGAAATCCATCGACCCCGAGCAAAGCAGCAGTTCCTGCACAGCCCCGTACGGGGCTTGCAGGCAACCTGGTGAAAGCCACAGATTGGATGGGAAAAGGAAAAAAAAAAAAAAAAAAAACTGTCCGGCGGAAGGGAATGAAACAATCTTGTATCCTGATAGAATGATCTCATGAACCCACTTGTCGTGAATGAGGGAGGTCCAAGGGCTCAGAAACCTGCAAAGATGCCCTCCACCCTGGAAGCGGTTGGGGGGTAAACCTTAATGCTCTGGGAGACTCCTCCGATGGCTTGGAGGACTTCTTGGGCCAGGGACGCTTGGTGCCACCTGCAGGGGCCTTAAAGGGCCTGGAACTCTTGACTTCAGAGCTGGAGGGGTGAAAAACATGTTTATGTGCCGTAAACATTGGCCCCAACTTCCAACGAGGTTCCTTTCCCTTCTTAGCCTGAGGGAGGAAGGTACTCTTGCCCCCATCCAGGGTAGTGCCAAAGAGATGGTCAGCTAGAAAGGGCAGGTCCACCAGAGCCTTGTTGGGAGGTCTGGTCCACAGACCAACAGTTGAGCCAAAAAGGGCCCGCTGAAGCACAATGGCCGAGATGCACAGTTTGGAAAGAAGAGGAGCTGCATCAAGGGCGGCATCACAAATGTACTTTATGCCATGGACCAACTGGCCGTTTGGTCATCCAGGGTTCCATCGTATGGACTCAGATTTTGTTTGGATCATACATCTTGTTCAGTTTGACATGCCTGTGTTATGTCTATTGTGAGTATGATACCTATTTTTGTTTCTTTAATAAATTATTTTAAACGATAATGCACTAGGTCGATGCACCCTTTTTCTGTTTCTCCATTTGCATCCGGTGTATTCAGACCACCCTGGTCTGTTGAGGGCAGCAAGCAGTGCATATTCCAGAAAATTCCAGAACATTCCTATTGGGTCTACTGAGTCCTTTCCTAGCGCAGGAGTAAAGTGTTTGTTGTGTTGGAAGTCTATCGGATTGCCAGACAGAGAAGCATGATTCATCACTCCAGAGAACATGTCTCCACTGCTCATGAGTCCAGTGGCGGTGTGCTTTACATCACGGCATCTGACACTTTGCTTTACACTTGGTGATGTAAGGCTTAGATGCAGCTGCTCGGCCATGGAAACCCATTCCATGAAGCTCTCTATGCACTGCTGTTGTGCTAATCTGCAGAGTCAATAGCTAAAGACCTCCAAAATTCGTGTGGCCTTCAGACACTTGGCAACTTCGGCGCACTGTGCGCTTCAGCTGACCCCGCTCTGTCATTTTACGTGGCCTACTACTTCGTGGCCGAGTCGCTGTTTCCCAGTTGCCTTCACTTATAATACCACCACAGTTGACCGTGGAATATTTAGTGGCAAGGAAATTTTACACATGGACTTGCTGCACAGGTGGCAACCTATCACGATGCCACGCTTGAATTCACTGAGCTCCTGAGAGCAACCCATTTTTTCAAATGTTTGTAGAAGAAGTCTGCATGCCTAGGTGCTTGATTTTATACACCGATTTGGAAGGGTGTCCCAATACAGTGTATGTATAGTGATTTCCTCTTTACAGGACTAAATAGATTCATTTTAGAATGTGGCAGAAAGTCGGTTTAGAGTTAGTTTAGGTGTGCTGCTGGCATATCTTAATGGACATGGTGTAAATTTCACATGTATATGGCAGGCAACAACCAGGGTGCTTGAGATTTTTTTTTTTTTCTTTTTTAAAGTGTTAAGCTTGGGTGTTTGGAGAGGAATGCCCGGTGTCCAGAAAAATGTCTCACTTGATGATTTTGATAGTTTATTGAAGATAAAAGTGTACAACTAGAACCAACACATTTTGAGAGAATTGCCTCCCCCGAAAACACATTGGCTCCACTTGTATATGTTTATCTTCAATTAAAAAAAAAAAAAAAAAAAAAAAAAAATCATCAAGTGAGACATTGACAGTTTGGTTGAGAGCACAAGCAAAATGTAACAGTTAGCAGTCCTGGCATGCTGGGAAAGTAAATGTTAAACATAAAGCAGAACTCTACAGCAAAGAATAAATACTTCATAGTAAGAAACAAAATATTAAAGTGGTAGTAAAGTAATTTTATCCACTTGTACCTACAGGTAAGCTTATAATAAGGCTTACCTGTAGGTACTGTAAATATATTTCTTAAACGTGCACCGTTTAGGAGATATGTACTTGTAAAAGACACCGGTGCACGCACTCTGAAGGAATGGAATGCCCTTCAGAGCCGTGTGCTGTATAAAGTTAATCCCAAGCGCATGCGTGGCGTCATCGCGTCTCGGCCATTTAAGCCCCGGAGCAGGCAAACCCGGAAGACTGACTGGGTGATGATGGAAGCCCTGTCAGTGGTGACAGCGCACTGCTGGAGGACTTCACTTTAAGGCAAGTTTCACATAATGTGCTAGTATGCGATGCATTGTCTTGCAGGTTTTTTTTTTTTTTAATTTAAAAAAAAAGATCGCAGTTTACTACCACTTTAATGAAGATGAAACCTCCATGAAGAAGGACAAATCTCCACTTTACACCATCATCTAGATATTCGAAGATTACTTACGAACTCCCAGAACTCTCCTGTCAACAGTTGGCATATGTGGTTGTGTCAACTTCTCTGGTCATCTCGTTTAAATAGCACAATATGGAACACTTGATGTATAGTCATTGACCAACAGTAATTGATAGTTATGGGGGATAAAAAAAAAACAAAACAAAAAAAACAATATATACCAGCGGCAGCACCATATTGGCAAATGAACTGCCATATCAGGCCACACACTCACTATGCGACAGAGGGAGAAGAGTCCTTGGGCAAGATACCATTTAACCTTTAGTCTAGGTTCAAACTAATGCGGTGTGGGACACCACATGTAATTCACACAGGAATCACACTGCATTCTTGTGTGAATTACATTCAACGTCTGTGCGGTGCGATTTGAGCCATACATTTTATATAGCTCAAATCACATCTGCACCAAAAAAGGTGCAGGACCCTTTTTCTCACCCATGCGATGAGATTTCTAGCAATCTTGTTTTGCGATGTTTCGGGTGTCATTAAATTTAACATGGACACCTACATCAGATTGCATAAAAACTCCATGCAATTGCAATGCGGTGTGGGAAACGTTTCCCGCACTGCATTAGTGTGAACCCAGTCTGAATCAGAAACCAAATGTAGAGCAAAACCAAGGAGCACTAGAATAGCTTTTGACTATACCCATCACTAGCTGGCACAACAAAAATGCATAATGTTTGAAAGGATAAATAATAAACAGGCCACCGCACTAAAGATTAAAGATAGCAAAGCCTTACCAGAAGTTATGTTACAGCCTTGGGAGAGAATATTAGAAGCAGAATCTACATTCATGTCCATAGTGAGGTTGGGCATTACAGAATCATTAATGCCAGTAGTGCCACAGGAGGCATTAGACTCATTACTAGGAATAGCAGCATTGGTGCTGTCTTTATCCAGAACTTCCATTGGAGTTACAAGACCAGTTGCTGAATTCATCTTTAATAAACAATCTTCATTTACAGGTCTTAAGGATGAGGATCCACTTATCTCAGGACCAGGGGAACAATTATCCATATTTGTATCTTTTTCGATATCTTGCGAATGATCACAATCAGAAATCGGCTTCTCTCTTTCTACAACTCCTAACGATGAAGAGACTGGCCTTGCATCATTAAAATGAGCCATTTTAGTATTGCTAGTTTCATCATTTACATTATGTGCTATAGGAGAAAGGTTAGCAGGGCTCCCAGCAAGAGTTTGAACACTAGAAGCAGATGTCTTACAAGTCTTACTCGGTTCTTCCCGCATCCCTTTTAAAGAATATCCAGTTTTTAGTGTAGAGTTTTCAGGTGAAACCTCTGTGGAAGTTTTAAACTCATTAGGAGAAGACCGGTGGGACCGAAGTTTTTCCTTTTCAGATGAGGTGCTATTTTGTGTGATACAGTTCTCTGCCAAAACTAATTCAGTCTGTTGCTGTTGGACATTTTCTTTTGGCAGAACAGGTGTTTCCTTAACGGTCTCGATTTTTGAGGGATTTTTAAATTTATTAAGGGTGGCAATTTGCTGTCGACAGCTTGGAGTCATTGTTTTTCTTGCCCTGCAGATCTTTTTCATGGTTCCGTTTGTACTCATTACAGCCATAGCTGATGCCTGCAGAATATTAAAGATCCAAATTATTATTTCTTAACTCAAAATGATAAATACAAAATCCAATGAATGTCCACAATAGGTGAGATTCATAACAAAAACAAACATACTTGTTACCTTTCCCTCACATTCACTATTCTTTAGGCCTCATACACACAAGGCATCTTTGCAGCCACTTTAGGGACATCAGGTGGGGTTTTTTTTTTTTTTTTTTTTTACTGCTTCCAAATGCCCCTCCATGTTATCCTCAGTGTCCATGCACACACAGAATTTTGGAAGCATTTAGTGCAGGAACATTTAAAAAGCAGAAAAAAAAAAAACCCCACACACAAAAACAACAGGGCTAGTGCATCCAAGAGCAGCAGTGTTTTGGCAGAGAAAACACTTAACACGCATAAAACACTTATTAACGCTAGGCGTTTTGCGTTAGAGCGTTAATTTCTATGGCCAGAATAAATGAGGCGCTTGACAGCTGTAAATGCACCTAAACTCTTGTATTAAGCTGTAGACACTTTTTCAAGCATCAGTTTTTTTTTCTGCCAAAATGCTGCTGCCAAGAGAAGAGTTTTTTTTTTTTTTTTTTTTAGTATGCGGCCTTAAGCCTTCACTCAGGCTTTAGCATGTATATGAGCAGTGTGAACAGCAAGATTTTGCCAAGCATCTTTTCTTAAAGCAGAGCTGCACCCAAAAAGGGGAAGTTCCACTTTAAAGCAGCGTTCAAGTGGGGAAAAAAAAAAAAAAAAAAAAAAAAAAAAAAAAAAAAAAAAAAGGGGAGTTGGGTCGCTGCTGACTCGATCCCACAGTGTGTCCTCTACAGACAGTTTCACCAGCCACCCTGTGTTACTGGCGCCAGCATCTTCAGTGTGGGCACCTGTATAGCCTGTAATCCACAACTGTACCGGGCCGCACTGCTCAGAAATTGTACATGACTTTTTCAAACCACACTGAATCTGCACCGCCAGTGCACCGGACGGACATATGTGAACTGGCACCATAAGAAGCATTGTGTTTTTCACATCATGCGGTCCAAACTGCATCCAATCCACATATATGTGAACCAGCACTTAGGCCTTAAAAATAAAAAAAGTTCCAGTTTCAGAATGTTAAACAGACTCTAAAAGGATTCCCGACTATCAGTCACTAACAGGCTTCAGCAGACTTTCAACAAGCTCTAAGCAGGGCTGAAGTTTACTGAAGATGGTTTGTTTAGGACAGAGACAGCAGGAAATATAGGAATGGCCTACTTCTGTGTGAATGCCTCTTCCACTAGGGAGATTCAAGAAAGATTTTGAAAGAAGTGAAATTCTTTCAGGGAGCGCCCCAGAATCATCAGAGAATGCACACATTCTTATCTGCTCATGAACGGGGAATGTTTTGCAGGTCTTTTTGTACCCAAAAGGGGTATGGTGAGATGGAGAATCCAGTTGCACAATGACAAGGCTTTTGCAGACAGAGGCAATGAGGTTTTCAGTAGTAGCAAGCATTTTGCGCAAAGTGCCCTTTTCAATATAGGGACAGTCTGGGAAGAATAAACATTCTATAACTTACTCTAATACTGTCTCAATATCCCTTTATTACCTTCTGTGTGTGCTTCTTAGACCTGTATAGCACCTTGAGACTAACTCAATGCATTGCACCAAGGTGAGTGCACTTGCAGGATTCAGTGCCCGAAGCAACAATAGATCCCACAGTAAACCAGACACACTGCTTCTACACTGGCACTAGAAGACAGCAAGGGCTTGACTGAAAAAAGATAAAATAAGTAAAATAAACTAGTCAGACGAAGTATGACTCTCTGTGAGGGGGGAAAAAAAAGTCCCTCTCCTTCAGACACTAGCACAAAACTGGGGATTCATGTAGTGGGATAGGATTATAAGGGATGTACCCAGAGGGCATGGCCTCAAGTTTTGCCAGTACATGACTAGAACACACAATGTATGAATAATATGCATGTGTCCTGTTAAGATTTGAATTTTCTTGGTAACACTAGTTCCACACTTTGGCGTTTTTAAACCCCCCCCCCCCCCCCCCCCAAATCAGTCATCATTTGACTGGATGTGCTATACTCATGCTGTGTACTTCTGCCTTGCTCCCCCTCCCAGTACACAGAAAATTGGCTCTTAAAGTGATATTAAAAGCTTCATTGTTTTTTTAAATAAACACTATACTTACCTGCTCTCTGCAGTGGTTTAGCACAGATTATCCCCAATCCTCCTCTTTTCAGGTCCCCCACCGATGCTCCTGGCCCCTCCCTCCTGTTAGGTGACCCACAGCAAGCAGCTTGCTATGGGGGTACCCACTGCTCCATGTGTCCATTCACATAAGGAGCCGGCTTGGCCCTGTCCCCCTCATCGACTCACTGGCTGTGATTGACAGTCTCAACCAATGAAGACAGGGAGTCTCAGGATAGCCGAGTCTAAAGTGCACATCGCTGGATCAAGAAGGGGCTTAGGAGAGTATTTGGGGGGGGGGGGGGGGGGGGCTGCTGCAGAGAAGGTTTTTCCATCTTCATGTATACAATGCACGAAGGTAAAAAAAACAAAACAAAACCAAACATCGAGCCTTTACAACCACTTTAAGCCTGTTTAGGGTGAATTGTACCTCGTGATCAAGCTCCTATATTTTTAAAGGAAACTTGAATAAATTACCTGCAGACAAGTGAAGGCTCAGAATTAGAATTTATTGTTGCATATACGTACAGTGCCTTGAAAAAGTATTCACAGCCCTTGAAATTTTCCACATTTTGTCATGTTACAAACCCATGAGACATACCCAAAAAGACTTGCAGCTGTAATTGCAGCAAAAGGTGGTTCTACAAAGTATTGACCCAGGGGGCTGAATACAAAATGCACACAACACTTCAAATATTTATTTGTAAAAAATGTTGAAAACCATTTATCATTTTCCTTCCACTTCACAATAATGCGCCACTTTGTGTTGGTCCATCACATAAAATCCCAATAAAATACATTTACATTTTTGGTTGTAACATGACAAAAAAAAAAAAATTGAAAAAGTATTCATACCCCTTGAATTTTTCACAAGGCACTGTATATGGGAAATGCAGTGTCCGACCTCACTGTATTCCACTTTCTACAAAGTTCTTCTCTGCTTATATAGCCTATCAAAACAGCAACAGACCAAATAAAAGGACCAAGGTGGACACTCCATCTAAAATGTTCCACAAGCCTGCTTGCACAGTTACAATCTAGATGTGTGTGTCTCATTTGCAGTAAACATGAACATGAAGCATCTCTGATGAGACAATATGGAGTATACATATACATCTTATAAATACTCTATATATGTGAGTCAGTAGGGATCATAGTGAGTATGCAATTTTGTGGTTTCAAGCTGAAATAATCGACCGGTCAGCACGAGAGCTCCAAATTATATATTTATTGGTGAAGATACAGCTGTATGAGAGCACGCCCTCTGGTCATTATAGGGTCTCTTTAGCACAGGCTGCACCCATCATTACTTATCAGTTTTCCAACACCTGTATGTATAGTGGACCAAAGGAACATGTGCTTAACCCCTTCACACGCCGGCCGCACGCTAATATGCGGCCTCCCGGAGTCTGGGCCTAGACGCCGAGTGGCCGCACATTTGCGCTCATGTAGCACACGTGAGGTACTCACGGAAAGGTCCCGGTCCGCTCTTTCAATTGGGACCTTTCCCGATCATGTGACTGGCCGTGACATCACAGCGGCCACGACACTAAGCCACGCCCTGTCCACCTCCCGACGCAGGAACTCTTCACGCCGGCACGAAGGGATTAAGAAAAACAGAAATTATTCAGACGCCATTTTAGCTGCTTATTACAAACAGAAAAATACAATTTTTTGTGCGTTTAGAAAACACCGAAATGTTCTAAAAAATGTGTTTAGCAAAGCTTCAGAAAAAAAAGCGCAAATGTCAGCAATTTATAACACATGTGCAACACGTATTGCTGTGTTTGACGCACAGCAAAGTGTGCGTTTTATGTGTGGGCTGTCACGCATTAGGAAATCAACAGATCAGAATGCAGCCTAAATGTGCGATGCCACGCTTTTTCGAAATGCAGGGCAAAATCGGGTGTTTTCTGTGAGGGTTGACATGCATTCAGAAGCATGCAGCCTAAAAGGCATAGTGAGCACGACACACATTGCCACGCATTCTCGAAACGCATGGCAAACAGTACCTTTTCTGTGCAGGTTGCATGCATTTGGAGATTTGCAGATGTGAATGCAGGATAATTGTTAAGGACACCAACTGCGGTTAGCAGACATGTGTTGTTGCCAAAATGTGCGATTGTCCATGACCAAAAGGGTTCTTGAGCAACTTTGTGGCATTTAAGCTCTGAAGTTGGGTGGGGGTGATTTAAGCAAGGAGCAGAGCCCTCCTATCCCTCTTGTATGGAACTGTATTGTTGCTGTATGGTCTCCCTTTATATTGTAAAGCGCTGAGCAAACTGTTGGCGCTATATAAATCCTGTGTAATAATAATTTGTCACCTGTAGGGTGGCCCATTCAAGTGAATGCGAAAAGGCCCCCCCCCCCCAAAAAAACAAAAACAAACACTGACCCAGAAGTAGCAGCAAAGTCATTGCAATTAAGACAAAATGTATGGCTTCCTAGTGATTTTACATTAAAGGCTATGGGAGTAGTGCTACCCAAGAATATGCCTGTAGTTTTTTGGGTTGCAGCGACTCAAGACACAGCAACTAAGACAGTATCCATTAAGATCTGTGTGTTCTCCCATGCCGCAGCTCGTTGGAAAATCATGCTAGTGTGAACCAGGGCCAATCAAAGCCTGGATTAATGTGTACATAGAAGGGCCAACAAGCTCCAGCTGACAAAAAAAATCAGTTGGACAATGTTAATCAATAAGCTTTTCAGAAGACATACAAAGATACAAAGTAACAGTGTAATTTTTGTATCATTCTGTTCATTCATCTGCAGATCAAAGAGAAACTTTGATCTGCAGATGATCCCAGGCAGGGCTGCCAACCGCCTGTAAAT